AGAGAGAGAGAGAGAGAGAGAGAGAGAGAGAGAGAGAGAGAGAGAGAGAGAGAGAGAGAGAGAGAGAGAGAGCATTGTTCTGGATTCGTTGTGATGGCAGTGCAAAGATGCATTCTTGTTTTATGCAGGAATCTGTCTTCTTGCAACGGTGTTTTGGTGGCAGGCGAGTTGCTGTTTTGGTGTGATCAAATTTGACCTTTGGTTGATGCCATTGGCACTCCATGGGCGTGCAGCTGTTACTTCAATCCGCTTCAACATGTGTCTCAACTTTAAACACCCACAGTTGCACACTTTGGTCCTTTTGAAATCTGTGGATGTGTGTGCTACATTCTGGTTTTCTGAAGTTTGCCTTTTGCTTGGATTGTTCTTTCTTCTTTACAACAGATGGGTCCCATCGATGAAGCTGCTTTAGACAAGTTGTCGCTGATCACGGAGATGGTCAAGAACATTAAAATGAAATCATCAAGCCAAAGCAAGTCGTCATCTGCGGCTGAGTTATCACAGTTTGCCCCCTTTTTCTTGTGGTTGTTGAGGGTTAGTAGTCCCCGTGCTGTGGTCATGTCATTCTCTGAAGCCCTATCCTCTTAACTTAACTGTCCTGCACTCAATATATTACATGGTGTGGTTTGCTCTCATTTGTCCTGGCTCAGCCTGTACGATCATGCTTTCTCTAGGATCTAGGAGGCTTGTGATGAATACATTGTCATGCATTGTTGTTGCTTTAGTCCTGGCCACTTTGTTCTTCACTTATCGTCTTTAGTGCACCTCCTTTCCTATCTTGTCAATTAACACGTTCCTGCTTTCTCTGCTGGTATCCTTATGCAGCTCTCTGTCTGCTTGCTTTGCTTTCCAGATGTCTGGGCTGCCATGCTTCCCTCGAACTCTCCTCATGCGCACTCGCTTCCTCTTTTCTCCTTCTCTCCTAGCTTAATGACCTACTGTTCCTCTATGCCGTCTTTTCAGATCCTCCTGTTTATTTATCTGAATTCTACACTTCTTTTTCAGCCTGTTTGCCTCTTTTCTGTCATTTCCTCCTCGCAATGTGGTTTTAGGGAGAAATGTGTTGCATACCGCATAGGTGCAGACCAGAACAAGAACCGACCTTTCAATACCAAGTATAAAATAGCACAGCGGAAGACTTAGATACCAATGATCCGAACAATCAATATTGCAATGCAGCCCCAAACATACATCATCATCATCATTCCATGGTGTGAAGGGGTCTGGCGCTTCACACAGGAAGACTGCGCCAGTCCCAAC